TTGAACATGAAATCATATATTTGTATGACTAAACAAGCAACATTTTAAAGATTTATGACTATAGCACGTAGTATAAAAGATAATAATGAATATCCCAATGTGTTGATTTGGTATCCTTTGGACAGATTTCGGTCATATTTAACATAATAATGACTATTGATTTGAATGGAACTTTATTAAACATTGCCAGCAATGAGGTGATTGGTCATTTTACATTCATATATAAATTTATAAATTAAATTAACCTGCTTATTTTGTCCAATAAGTTGCCACCATTTATCATTAACTTAAACCACAGTAACAGTCAATCAGTCGGTGGTTTTGAAGCAAAACTATTGCGGACTTTAAGCCAATGTTTGAATTTTACGTATACTTTCATTGATTGCAATCACAAATGGGGTCAAAGGTATCCCAATGGCAGTTGGGATGGCATTGTGGGCGCACTCGTGGGAAATGTAATCATTTTGACATTTTTAATAATTAATTTTTAATCCAATTATTTTTGTTACCTAAATAAGAGGGCAGAGATTGGTATCGGATCTATGAGTATACTATATGAGCGACAAAAAGTCATTTCCTACGTATACCCCCATATCATAACATCGCTATCATTCACGGCACCGGTATTTGACGCTAAACTCTACTCAACATCACTACTCGCGCCGTTTGACTCGCAAATATGGTTTCTATTATTGGGTTCACTGATCCTATTATTAACGATTAATTGCATATTAAATCAAATATTGTATAAATGCGTAAAATACAGATTATATGTAATACCAATACTACTGAACCAATCCATGCATAAAATGTCCGCACAATTGGCGTTACGACTCGTGATTACGGGTTGGCTGTTGTCGACAATTGTATTGCGGTTCGCATACAGCGGAGCACTCTATGCCAGTATGACTGTCCCCTCCAAACCGCACACCATTGAAACGGTTGACGAGCTATTCATAGCTCTAAATAGCGGCAAAATTAAGTCTATGTTTCTGAGAGGATCCGGATTGTGGACACCTTTCATAGAGCTTCAGGTATGGATTAAAACACCATTTTTACAATTTGAAAATTGTTCTGGTTGCAAAATATTTTTAAAATGTACAGTCAATGAGTAAATGAGTGAATTTTGGAATTAATATGGGTATTTTATTTGCAACCATACATATTTACTTTATATTTAATTTATAATTATATTTTAATTTTAATAATTTATAATAGTCTTAGAAATTGTAAAACTTAGTAAATAGAAAATTACACAATATTATTCATAAATGATAATATTTAATTATTTAGCATTTTATTTGACACTACATTCAGAAACAAAAGCTACAAATGAGTGGCGACCAGAATATCAGTGAAACGATTTTGTTTGTCAAGACTCACGCCATGGGTTTCGATGTATTGAAACAATTCCCAAATAAATACATTTTTCTCATCCAAAGACATCACATTGAATACCACATCCGGAAAAGAAAAATCAATTATTATTTGCCACCAAATAGTAAGGACTCGAATCTGTTCAACGATTTCACAGCCATTGCCGTCCGGAAAGAGTTTCCGTTTATTCAGCAATTTAATAAAATGTGTGTATTTTCGTAAAAAAATATTGTATTTTATAATAAATAATTTTTTATAGTATTTTAGACATAATGAGCGCCGGACTCATAGATTACTGGAGAGAAGAGTTTTATCAAAAAATAGTTAAAAATCCAGTGAAATGTGAAACAACTCCCGAGAATCAGTTCACTGAAAATGCACTGAATTTACGACAATTGGTAAACTTATTTAACTTGTATTTTGTTGCAATTTTAATAACATTACTTTTATTTTTATGCGAATATCTGTTCATTAGAAACAAAATTTTTCAAATTATTTTTAACACAGTTAGTAATAGAAAATAATTATAAAACAATTAATTATACAATTTTAAAAATTTGAATAAGTTATAAAAAGTCAAAATTATAACTATTAAAACATAAATTAAATGCAAAATTAATATTATATTGAATACAGTTTTAATTATTCATTAGTAATAATTAATTGCTATATTAAATGTTATAACATTTCCGACATATTACTAAACAATTATATTTAATAATCATTTTATACAACATTATTGGTGTCATTCAGCACCGACTGTCTCCATGAGGCGAACCCTTTCCAACCGACACACCAGTCATACTGAACCGGGTATTTAAACGTCTGTCCGGTGGCTAACCTATCGGCCGCGGCGTACGGCCAGTGAGGGTTGTTTAGGAGGGCCCTACCGATCATTATTAGGTCGGCGCCCGTCTCTCTCAACAACTTCTCGGCCACCATTGGGTCCACTACTTTGCCCACCACTGCCGTCATTATACCCACATCCCTGTGCACATCCCTGGCCGCCTGT